GACCTTTTTTATGCAAGAGCGTTGAGTAAGTGACTAAAGAACCAGATGACTTGTTGTCAACCGACTCAAACAAAACTAAAGAGCTCCAGAAAAACCTTTTATTTTCAAACCAACCCTTTTGGGCTCTGGATCAAGACTAGTTTATACTAAAAAAAACACAAGCAGAAAATAAAACATGCAGGGTTAAATTGTAGAAAGATTTTCTCCATACTAAAGTGTTCCCCAACTTTTTAGTGGTACAACTTTTCGTAAGTAAGTAAGTAGTAAGTAATCTTTATTTATATACCGCCTTTTCACTGCACATCGGAGTCTCAAAGCGGTTTACAATTGTTATTTTTGGGAGTGGGGGTGCCAGTTCAGGAGGCACATGCCAGACCTATTGTACATATTTTTAGTGTTAGGGGAAACCGGAGCACCCGGAGGAAACCTACGCAGACACGGGGAGAACATGCAAACTCCACTCAGAAAGGCCCTGGTCCAACCGGGATTCGAACCCAGGACCTTCTTGCTGAGAGGCGAGGGTGCTATCCACTCAGCCACCGTGCCGCCCGGTGCCATGTGACCGGTAGAAAACAGTCACATGGCATTGCACCTGCTGAAACTGAAACGGTAATGAAACTCTGCAGCCTTTATTAATAATGCAAAGTCCTTTTCATCAAAGTGTATTTTACAGAAAATCAAACAACATCTCAGGCCACACTGATTCAAAAGTCTTAGTTTTTATCTACACTGCAAAAAGTGGTTCAAAAACAAGTATACATAGCTACTATAAGAGAAAATGTTCCACTTGTTAAGATTTCTTGAGTAATATTATCTTAAGTATCTTTAGCCTGCATGAGTAAAATGGTTTGTGAATCTAATCACTAATAGATAATGATTGGGGGGAAAAAATGTTTTTTTCAATATTTTTTTCAAAAGTTACTTCTTTCCCATAGAATTGTGTTGGCACCTGCCTTTAAACTCAAAGAGATTTTTAAAATACAATCACAACCTATAGAAAATCTTTTAAATATAACTTTTAGAGACTTTGGTTTATGCTGTGAAAGGGGAATTATCAACATCCAACAAGTTGTGTCTGAAGTCCAGACTTCAGACTCAACATGGACAGTTGTGTCCTTCTGAAGTTCTCTGACGACTCTGCCATCATCGTACTCCGCTCCGAGGACGATGACACCAAGTACAGAGGACTAATACAGGACTTCGTGGACTGGTGTCAGCGGAACCACCTCCTCAAGGACCACTTGTGGAAAGTAGCATGTTAAATCTGGTGCAACCATCTTTTAACTGCACATTGTCCTTAATTCATCAAACTTCAAACTCCGCATCAAAGGAGATGGTTTTGGACTTCCATAGAAACAGTGAACATCCAGGGAAGGGACATTGAGAGAGTGGACTCTTACAAGTCCCTGGGTGTTCATCTGAACCACAAACTGGACTGGACTCATAGTACTCATAATTTTATTTAGTATAGAGAGTATATGTGTGCATTTGTCTTGTGTGCTACTCATTCCTTCTGTTCTGTGTCTAGTGATGCAACACTAACATTTCCCCAATGTGGGACGAATAAAGGATCTCTTAATCTCTCTTAATCTAGACCACATTTGCCCACAATTGTAAAGCTCTTTGAGACTCTAAATAAAGATTACTTAAACTTACTTACTTAAAAACACAAACCAATTTGAAACATTTCACTTTTGCCAGAATGGGAAGGCTTATCTCGTCACACTTCCAAAGATATTGTGACTCAGTTGGACATTGGGCCTCTGCAGACGTCACAGTCTTGTTCCCCATAAGTGGCACACATATGATCAGTGGTAAAGGGTAGTGTGGTAAAGGTGATTTGTGCTTTGGTCTATTGTTGTCTAAGTTTAGTGGGACCAGGGGAGTGCTGTCTGTCTGCACCACTGTGACTCACAGCCACACGGCCGCTCCATGAGGAAGTCCCTGTGCTTCCTTTGCCCCATCACCGGACTTGTTTTTGAAGCTGCTGCTAAATATGTGAATATATATGAGTGTTATAGGCTACAGCATCATATATGTATGAATATAAACTATCAAATTACCCAATTATGTATCAATTGTGTCAAATTACTATCGATAGTCACTGCACAAGCCGCTCAACCACAAACTGGACTGTTTTCGTTTAACTCATTGTGTCATTATATTTGTTCTAAATATAAACACTCAGAAACAGGATTTCTCTCAGAAGAAAAGTATGCTGTTACTTTTCAACTGTTCTTATTTGTGTGTTTTGGGCAATTCAGTTCTAAATGCAAGGAGTTGGATTGAAGTTTATAAGCCCCATATCCAATCCCTTATGTCAAAATGTATGTTATTTTGTTTGGTGGATTGTGCATGTAAAAATAAAAGGATTGATTTGATCCTCTCATTACTTTTTAATATATGAAGTCTTAGTGAGAGTTCTATGTCTTGCAGTTATGCCAAGCACGTTGTGAACTGTGAAAAACCGCAGCAAAAAACTGTCAGTGTTTATTTGGGCTATTGAGGTGTGAAAAACTTCAAGTCACACAATAAAACAACAAATTATTCATTTTTTTTTTTCTGTATGAAATATCAATAACAATAACAACAATTGTTAGTATGCTGTAAATGTAGCTTACAAAATAGAGAATAAGTCTTCTTAAAAATAAAGAAAGATGCAGAAGGATGGCCAATCTACGCACACGAAACCACATCCTCCCAAAGGGAACTTGAACACATGGCATGCCACGTGTGGAGGAAAACACATCAAATAAAGTATTTCTAAAGTCTGAGCGTTTCATAGCGGGATCAAACACAGTTACACAGATCCATATTGTGACGTGAGGCTGAAAGTTGATGACGGTGAAAGTTGGTGACAGTGAAAGGAGGTGGCAACGCAGCGCAACAGGATATTTGGTCACCATGGTTATGGGCAGCAGATACGGATCTTGATGTTTCTGTTGTGTTTTTTCAGTCACGCTAAAGCAGAGCAAAGGGGACACACGTGTGGACATTATACTGCATCAATGTGACTGGAGCATGAGCGTCTGAAGAGCAGGTGAGTCTGGACATTTTCAATATTGAAACCTTGGACACCTATAATGGTACAATAAGCAGACTAGTCAAAAAGTACTGGATTAACATCACATATCAAACTAATTAGAAACTAAATCCATACATGCATTCATACATGTACACGTTTGTGAATGTATAAATGTGTAGATTCCCTGAGTGCACTCAGGGAAGTTTATGTTAATCAAAAAAAGTTTATGTTAATAGCACTTTCCTGAGTGCTATTACTAAAAGTTTACTATTATTATAACAATTTACACTACTAATTTTGAACAAAAACACAAAAAACACAACTATCTCGTGATTTTATCCACAACTATGGACTTCTAAAAATAAGTAGATCATTAGAGAAGGTGAATTTCTAAAGTAGGCCATAGATTGTGTGTCATTGATCTAGAGACATTTCCGGCAGAATGCTCGTTCAGCCCTGTGCCATGTGCGGCGGCAGATAGGCCTAACGTTTCCAAGCGCTCGGCGTCTCAGCAGTGCACTCTGGGGACGTGGACTTCCCCATACACAAAACCATCTCTCAACAATACTGCTTTTTTCAAGTGGAGAGTTCCACAGCTGCCTTCACAATCACTGTAATTGTTCTCTTACTTCCTCTGTGGGACTTTCAACACCACAAGAAAAAACAGCTACCTCAAAAAAAAAAATACTGATCCACAAACCACAGTTCAGGTATGGCCTTTGTCCTTCATTTTCATTGAGTAAAACAAAAAAACCACTAAATTATACACTACCGTTCAAAAGTTTGGGGTCACATTGAAATGTCCTTATTTTTGAAGGAAAAGCACTGTAGATAACTTTAAACTAGTCTTAACTGTAAAGAAATACACTCTATACATTGCTTATGTGGTAAATGACTATTCTAGCTGCAAATGTCTGGTTTTTGGTGCAATGTTGTAATTGCTGCAAATGGAGGATTCTTTGACGAAAGCAAAGTAGGATGTAAAACAAATCTTATTTCAAATACAAATCATTATTTCTAACCTTGTCAATGTCTTGACTCTATTTTCTATTCATTTCACAACGTATGGTGGTGAATAAGTGTGACTTTTCATGGAAAACACTTGGGTGACCTCAAACTTTTGAACGGTAGTGTATAATGGAAAGTCCATCAATGCAAACCCATTTTCAGAGCAACCTCTAGATGGTGCTAAGTACAATACAATACAAAACAGCGGGAACATGAGGTTAACCCATGAGTTTAACCAAACTTCTCACTCTCGAAAGCATCATCTTTGTCTCTTGAAAGTTGTTGACGTCTCAGGAACATAATGTACTCATATGCAATGAGGAATCACAGTGTTAGTATTGCTACTACGTGGCGCCCCTTACATGTGAAATCCAGATTGCGTCAGACCTCTGAGGCTAAGCAATGCAGGGCCTGGTTAGTACTGTGATGGGAGACCTCTGGCAACGCCAGATACTACAGTGGGGCAGCTGTGGCCGTTAAAGTGCCAAACTGTCGTTGTGTCTTTAAGCAAGACACTACACCCACATTGCCTTGAATGAGTCTGTTGTGTCCGTGTGTGTGTGTATGTATGTGTGTGTCCGTGTGTGTGTGTGTGTGTGTGTGCCCCAGGGCAGCTGAGGCTACAGTAGTAGTTTATCACCACTGTGTATGGAATGAATGAATAATGACAAGGACACTCAAAAACGCTTTGTCCAAAAAAGCGTTATATAAAACGCATGCATAATTATTATTAGTTAATATACCTAAAGGTTTTCTAATGATACTTAAAAAGAAAGAAGACATCAATGAAAAACATGTTATGTTGTGTGTATGCAGAAGTCATGGGTTGGAAAACACCAAAGCATGTGATTTACACATTTGCATTCTTTGTGTTCTCTGGCTGGTTTCACTTCAATATAATCTCACACATGTTTCTTTCACTGCAAAACTAACACAATATTTCAACAGGCCCTGTACATGAATCAACATGGCGTCCACTGCTGATCCTGAGACCTTCACGTTGTTCTCAAACGCCTCTGGCTGCGACACACTGTACGCCCACCGCGCCTATGCCAAGGTCCTCATGCCCCTGTTCTATTGTGTGGTGTTCCTGGTGGGGCTCTCCGGGAACTGCCTCGCCCTTTACGTCATCCGTCCCAACCTGAAGAAAATGAACTCCACAACTCTGTACTCCCTCAACCTGGTCATATCCGACATCCTGTTCACTCTCTCGCTCCCAGTGAGGATTATATACTATGGCATGGGCTTCCACTGGCCTCTAGGGGAAGCCGTATGCAAAATCTCTGGTCTTCTCTTCTACATCAACACTTACGCTGGGGTGAATTTCATGACTTGTCTGAGTATCGATCGTTTCATAGCAGTAGTTTTGCCTTTACGCTTTGCAAAGCTAAGAAAAGTAAGCCACGTGCGCTACATCTGTCTGGGTGTCTGGCTGCTGGTTCTTGGTCAAACTCTCCCATTGCTCAGTATGAATATGACCAACGTGGAAGCGGACGGTTATGTCACATGCATGGAGTACCCCAATTTTGAGAAAGTCGACCATATTGCCACTGTATTGATAGGCGCTGTGTTTCTTGGTTATGTCATCCCTGTTTGTACAATCCTAGTGTGTTATTCTATTCTCTGTTACAAGCTTCACTTCACAGCCAAATCCAACCATCTTACTGAAAAGTCTGGACGAAGCCGCAAAGCCATCGGCGTCATCGTCTGCGTCTCTCTTGTGTTCGTCGTCTGCTACAGCCCCTATCACATTGACCTCCTTCAGTACATGATCCGTAAGCTTGCCCTCACACCCAGCTGTGCCGAGCTGACCTCCTTCCAAATCTCTCTGCACATCACGGTCTGTCTGATGAACTTGAACTCCTGCCTGGACCCGTTCATTTACTTCTTTGCCTGTAAAGGATACAAAGGCACTCTGCTCAAGTTGCTCAAGCTGCATGCCAGTGTGTCCTTCTCCAGCGCTGGGAGGACTTCTCCTGAAGGATCCAACGGAAACAAGATCCAGCTAAACAGTTCGACGCTGTGTTCGGCAACTGAAAGGCTAACTCCGGGAGACCGCAGATCTGTGAAATATGCCTGAATCGCTGAACTCTTACGTTCTTAATGAGGGCACAATGGACTTAAAAGCTGCTGTTCATTTTATATGTTAAGTTTGTAAGACTGAGAAGTTTTCCAGAGTTCTAATGAAAGACCTCAACAATTATGTACATAATAACTATAGTTTGTGGAGTTTTTGTATAAATAATTATTTGTGTCATATCCAAGGAAGATTTGTCTCAGGAATAAATATGATTAATAGTAGTTATTAGAATTTTAAGGTAAAGGCCTACACATTGATTCATGTAATAGTGATATCATATTCCATTTGTACGGTTGGCAAAATGTTATATATCCCTGGTATGGTTTGTACCAAGTGAAAGTCACCCCTATGGAGTATGGATTATTGCGTTGCCTTGTTGGAATGTATATGTATGTGTATTTATAGCACACAAATGGCCGGTTCGTCCCTCCCCTTATCTGACCTACAGGGGCCTGTCCGCCTCCATGGAGCTATTGCAGAACTGTGGGAAATATTTTTCCTCAGACAGAGACAGGTGGTAGGGCTCTCATATGCATCTACTCTTCTAGAAAATAAAAAGACTCAATAGAAATGTTTTATTATCCCCATTGCTGCATGGGATTCATCTGGATCCCTGAGGCTGATTATTATGCTACTATGAGTTTACTATATCACAAAACACTTGTACAATCTGGTGCAATCTCTGGGGCCAGGATTCCTTTGGGAAATGAATCATCTTAGTGTGACATTGCTGGTTAAAAGAGGGTCATCAAATTCTCATACAAACATCTATGAACAGTGATGGTTAGTAAATTATGAATCCGTTTCAGCCAGTGATTGTTTGGCCAAAGATTATTTGCCAAATACTGAAGACTTTGAAGTAAGTAAGTCTGGGTAAAGTGTAAGTCTGGATAAAGTGTTTGTGCACAGACACATGACTGGGTGAGAAATGTACACATCCCATGACTTCCTGTTTTGCATCTTTTTAATTAAACTGTGTCCATGTGACCTGGATGTCTGTCGTTTTCTTACTCACGAAAGGGGAAGTTATATAGTAAAGCAATGCATTTTGTGTTTACTTCACAATAATCCATACTTTGATGATCAGTGTGATTCAAAATGAACCCAAACCAAAAGAATTTCCCCAAAATATTGAAAATATATATATTTTTGTAAATATTCCTTAAAGAAAAAAATAAATAAATTCCAATTAGAGGATCCCGAACATCACCTCCACATTATTGCAGTACTATTAGAGTGACTTACATCAACTCTGATAAGGCAAATAAGTAAACGTGTCCACGCCCTGCAGACCACCTCTCCTCACATGTCTGAGCAGTAGAAGTGTCCTCTGGTGCTAATGCTGCTACATACAACGGTAGTGCCATTTGAGGCCCTGCTGAAAGATCAGATATACTGTCACTGACAGAGCAGCCATCCTCCTGTGGACTCCCCACCTGCAGGAGGATCAGTGAGGGGCTGGTGCATCCAACTTCTTCCCCTTAATGCCAACAAAGAAATGGATTAAGAGGAAGAAGTTGGATGGATGGATGGATGACAATAGTGTCAGTGTTCATACTAAAACCCATACAAAAGCAGTTTGGCCATTTCACTTGAACTCTTGTAGTAATAGCAGCTGGTCACTAGATGGAGGTATATAACAGCATTAATCACTACCAGTAAGAATGTTGGTAGTAATAGCAAAGGTTACAGAAGGTTTTATTTGTCTCAGATTATTGCATTTAACTTTTTGTATGTCCTTGTTGTTGTATTGTTCATGATAGATACTAAAAAGCTGCTATTATGGAAATGGTCTTTAGATGCACCGTGACGGGTATCAAAGACAAGACTAAACAGACTGTTGTCATAACAACATATTGCAGTAAACACAAAGTACCATCTGCCGTGAGATTTTTAAGACACATTGAGAGGACGAGCCAATAGATAATTATACCTCAGGAAGGGAGTATGAATTGGATCGCAGTTTTGATGTAAAAGTAAAAGACTGTAACAACTGCTACAAAATCCTTTAAAAGCCAATTAAACGTACATAGATAGATATGTGATGAGAGAGACAAACTGTGTTATGCTGTCCCAGTGCGAGGTTGAGGTAATTTGAAAACAAAAGATAATTCCTTTTTTTAAATAAATAAGGAATTTGAATCAAAGGTAAAAACAGTTCCAAGCCAGGAAAGGCGACCAATTTAAATTGGCACATGATAAAGTCAGTAAACAATCTGTTCAAACTTTACCAAAATCAAAGTGCAGCTATTCATGAGTTTCAGCTTCCTCTTTCAGGCCACATTTTCAGCACATGTTCTCACAACACTTTCTTATTCAAATTTATTTTTTATAATTATGAAACCTCTGGATCATCATCACTTCAAACATAATGTTGAAAATATGTCAACAGACACCTAGAAACACAATATATCTATCAAAAAAAGTACATATATAAATATATTGTGTTTTGTAACGCTGATAACAATGGGTCTGAAAACTTCCACTGCCACAAGCAGTGTGTCCCAAATGGGATGGAGCGCTCCACAGTGAAGATAGACCGTTTATGGTACTTCACATGTACTGCTAGTACCGGTCAACACTGGTATAACAGGAGGAAGTCCATTCTTGAGTATTTCCATTAGTATTTATTTTAAAATCATTACTCAAGAAAATATTTCCCATCTTTAAACACAAATTGTTAGACAAGCAAACATACTTATATCCACAGTAAGAGTCATTTTCAATGAAAGGCAGAATTTTCTTGGCTCTTTAAAAAAATAAGACATTATTTTCTTATCTCATGGGCAAATTTAGCTTTGAGACCAACAAAATGTATCCAAATGTGTAGACTGCAACAACCACAGCCACAATGTATTGATTATTATCAGCTATAGTAATTTATGCTCAACACGACAGAGCCTATTGTAAAAATATCGTATCATTTTGAGTTGCTCTGTTCTGATATTCAGATCATCTTTTTTCCCACTAGGCGTATTGAATGTGATGTAACTTCCTTTGCTCACGGAAAACTTTTAATTTTCCTCTAGTTCTTGGTATAATGTAATTTGAAAGTGGACATGCTCTTTAATCCACAACTCCTCATTCCATGCTTCTCTCTCATTGTGGACATTAATCACATTCATCTGTATTCAGCCCCGGTCCAGACTGACCTTGGCTGTTTTCACCTGTGCTGTGTGCTTTGCATCTATTAAGTCCACGTCGCATGTTTAAAAAAAAAAATGTCCCAGCATCAGCGTGAAGTGTCTATTACCACCATCTTATTTCCTGTTTATATGGCAACTGCCTCAACATCCTGTTTTTAATTACTTCTCTCCTGTAGCAGATGCTGCTCACTGCAACCTGCTGTGGATTACTCCCCTGAGAACTAATGTGCTGTGACAGACCCCACTTTTCCAATCAATAACTCGCCCTAAATCTGCCATCTCCGCGCCTGCCAAACACACTCCCACTTCTAATGGCAACATCATTTTCTTTAAGGGGGTGTAATTGCAGACTCTGGAAAAGCCTGGGCCCTTTCGCTTCTGCTATTACCCAGTATCGGAATGTGAAAGTGAAACTAAACTATAACTGTGCAAATAGCAAGGAATGTGAACAATTCTGTATATGGAAAGCATTTGCATCAATAAATAATCCATTACAACAATTGTCTGTATGTTGTAAGAGTAATGCAACTATGTGTGATAGTGTTTAGTGCAGAAATACTGTCATATCAAACCAAAACATTCACTGTGGTATAAACGAGCAGGTCATGGCAGAAGGCACATTCCTCAAGCAATTGAAGTGAGAGAATTGATTCAACATAATTAAAAAAATCTTGTTTAGCTACATCAACCTTGATGTACGTTATTGCAAATATTAACATTCATAGAATTATTAAAATACAAATATCTGTTTCTATTAAGCTGTACTTGGACGTGGGCAATATACAAGGCAAAGTGCCTAACAAAGCAAGAAAATAAATACATATCATACAATCTATTAAAATGATAAATAATCACAATGCATAAAAAGAGTGAAGATAAACCTTCAGTTGTATGCACAGAGAAACATGTATTAGATATAGACTATTATTACAACTGCTAATAGGAGATGCTCTCTGCTTTTTCACATTTGCAAAAGTAGCTCCATCTTTCAATGGGGGATTCAGGCAAAGTGGGGTTAAGTGTCTTGCCCAAGGACATGATGACAGCAGACATCAGCGGGAGTTGTTGGGCTCAAACCCGCGACCATCAGGCTCAAAGGCCTTTAAGTAGCTCTCTGATAGAAAAAGGTTGGAGACCCCTGCACTCATCTCACAATTGGGAAATTACAGTGTTGCAATGCACAGTACAGAGCAGTGGGAATAGAGGGCACACAAAAAGAGAAAAATGCTTGTAAATATGCATTTTTGCGGTCATAACCCCATGTACTATAGTTGTATAGCTGTAAAAACAAAGAAGAAATGCAGTCACACGGTGCAGTCCTGTCCTCATTTGCAGACGGCCCACACAGGAAGAAGCACCGGGGGCTTCACGTGCGAAACTATTGGGCTGGCCACATTTGCATCTCATGGGCTTAAGAGAAAGTACTCACTTCCTTACTGTGTCTGTTGCAGCAGATACATAAATCCCTTCACAAGTTTATAAAGCTGTTTATAAAGTGTGAGCTGTCGCCATGTTTTTGTGAGTGTTTTTCCAAGGTAAGTGCAATCTTTAAATCACCCGACAATGAAAGATGTACAGTGTGACCTTAAGGGGAGATAGAGAAAGTAATTTGGCAGTCATGTTTTACTGCGTTTGGAGCCAGTATAGTAACAGCCGCTTTTATTTGTCCAGGTATCCAGTTATTAGATTACAGTGATGAATAATTGATGGTGGATGGCGAGTGAAAGACAGGACACATGATTTCATAACAGGCAGAGGAGCAACTCAAAGGTCACATGCGTAGTCATATTTTACAGAGGAGAAATGTTTGTAATCATAAACACTACACTTCTGGTCTTGTAAAACGTGTGTGACATTTTAATTATCTTTTTTGTTTGCAGCTCGGTAGTAATGTGTCTAATTTACTTCATGATCAAATGTTAACGGCAACAAAAACACAGAACTATGTAGAACTCTTTCTCATGTCACCCATTCTAACGATCAGCTGTTTTTTCTAACTATATAAAATGTAACAATAATAAAAACAAATAAATTAGTTTTAGACCTACATAAAATAGCCCTGAATGCCTGTTCTGATTACAGCTCTATTTATAGTCACATTTACAAAACAGGAAACTGTCAGGGGGTTTTTTCACCTACAGAACTATTTTGATTGCAATGACTTATAACTCACAATCACACATTTCCCCCTCACTGTTGTTCTCACTGTAGCTCATGACTCCAGGACACTTTCCATACAGCGACCTGGTTTCCCACAAACAATTTCCAAACACTTTTCTTCCATATTATTCTTTTATTTAGTCATGTTTAAGTTTTAAGTCAAGCTCTATCTCTTCTAATGTTTGGCTCCACCTTTTGCCTGTTTCACATAACATTTCTGAAAACAACTGGTGCTTAAACTATATGCTATATAATCATTGTAAAATTAATCAATTACAAGTTACAGTAATATATTCCTTTTTGAACTCATTACTCAAAAGAACAATATTAGCCAACATATTGAAGTAACTTACATCACATACATAGCTTTTTTTTTTTCCAAACATGAGGGTTGAATATCACTTGTGTGTGAGAACAAAGCTTTCTGCTGCTGAGAGCATAAAACTCTCATTCAAATGTCTAATATTATACGTTTTTGGGACTAAAAGTATCTTGATAGATTTCAAAACAGTACTTCTGTAATAGAGTACTATCCATCCTTCAGTAATATATGAAATACACTGTTGTAGAGTAACATGGCCAACACTGCCTGAAGCATATTTTATTATAGTAGTATGTTAAAGTGAACTTGTGCTCTCCTCTACCTGCAGTATGGATCTTCTGGGTGTGAACATGTCAGCAGAGTCCAGCTCAGAGGAGCAGGCCCCGCAGGAGTACCGGGTGGCAGGCCTCATCTTCTTTTCCCTCATCTTCATCATCGGAGTGGCGGTAAATCTCACTGCTCTGTCGGTATTTGCGCTGACCACCAAGAAGAGGAACTCTGTCACTGTCTACATGATAAACGTGGCACTCGTGGACTTGCTTTTCATAACAGTGCTGCCGTTCAAAGTAACTTACCTGCACCTGGACTACTGGCCCTTTGGAGACGTCTTCTGCAGGATCAGCGCGGCCCTGACCATATTCTACCCGTGTATGGCGCTGTGGTTATTTGCACTCATTAGCGCGGATCGCTACATGGCTATAGTCCAGCCAAGACACGTGAAAGAACTGAGAAATGTCCCCAAAGCAGTGCTGGCCAGTGTTGGTGTGTGGCTTATGACTTTGGGCAGCACCATATCTCTAGTTTTCTCTTTGGATGACCCTGACGCCAGCTCCAACTTCACCACGTGCGTAAAGGTGATAGACATTATTTACATGCGCAGCGATAACCCCGTGAACTTTGCGCGCCTGGTTTTTTTCTTCCTGTTGCCAATTTGCGTCATGGTGGGATGCTATATGGTTATAGTGGACAACCTGATCCACGGGCGCACCTCGAAACTGAAACCAAAAGTCAAGCAGAAGTCTGTGAGGATTATAGTCACGTTAATTGTACAAGTTTTGGTGTGTTTTGTGCCTTTTCACGTGTGTTTAGTTGTGCGTCTTTTGGGGACAGACGCTGGGGGGTTTTACACATGGGCTGTCTTCACCACTTACTTAATGAATCTCAGCACGGTTTTAGACATCATTCTCTATTATATAGTTTCGAAGCAATTCCAGGACAGAGTCATAAGCGTGATTTTGTACAGAAACTATCTCCGCAGCGTCAGGAGGAAAAGTTTACACACGCACACGGGCAGCATACGATCACTGAGCAACTTAAACAGTGCGATGATTTGAATCCAGCTGTCAATCAACATTCCCATAAGTGCTGCATATTGTGCGCAAATGGAACCACGTACAGCCAAGTGTGCCTGCTTTCTTGGTACGCGGCTCATTATCAGAAGGATCAAAACTTGCAATTAATTGTCGAGATGTAATTTACACTCACAGTATGGGAGTGTTGCTGTTGTGGCAAAAACATCTGTGTTCAGAGCTGATTGACTCACCCTTGAGACTGGAGACGCTTCCATGCTCCACAGACAAAGCAGCGACTAGAACTGTGGCTCAGGTGTAATAGACACAAGGCAAAAAATAACTTTCATAATTATTATGAGCACAGCATGCGGCATTTGTGTTTGTTTGCTTTGGGTAATATGTATAAACAATGAACGCGTCCCTCCACCCGCCAAAGGCAATCAGTCTTCTATAAGTAAAACGAGTCAAATGAGTAAAGTTCCTGCACAACAATAGCCATTTCTAGTGTTGCTGTTGTTGTTTAATGGGTTGCATATAAGTTGTGTTTTCCGTTATTGATAATTGGGCATGTGCTGTGACGGCAGTGGCCGATGGAGGGCAGCATGGCACAGTCTGTTCACGAGAGCGCGCCAGAGACGATCAGGAATCATCCGGACGCGAAGTTCTTCACTACAATTATATGACTAACTTTGTCAAACGCAAACTTTTATAGGCCTTTTTGAGTGTGTTTTATCCTGAGAATATGCAGCCCAATAAATGCATGCGATAGTTTCCTTATGGGTTCAGCAGTTTTATGGTCAGTTGTGAATTGTATTGATTGGATGTTAAATGATTTAGTCTGTAGAGTGCATTTACAGTAATATCCTCAGGAGAATAAAAAACTGTACAGCTTTAAAGAGGATGTATTTGTGTTTGAGTTTGCTCATAATGCAGGAACCTTCAAATGTGCTTTAAAAGTGTTAGTGGTGTAGCATGGAGTCTCCACACTTCTGATCTGATTCAGAGATGACTCAAAGCAGCTGAATACTTTCTCTCATCACATAAACATGTTATAATCAGACTGTATGGTGACTGCCCACGGCATGCAGACATGAGTTGAAGTGACTAAGCTCATGTGACCCTGTATTCACATGTTCATGTTGTACACAGAGTAGTTTGTTTTCATATTCACATATGAGAGGCCGACACAGATCCGTCTGTCAGAACATGCATGTCCCTGCAGACCGCTACATATGTGCGCCACTGTATTCAATAAAGCAGCCAGCTCCACCATTTCCATCTTATGGAATTCTGGAAGCACAGTTCATCACATGATGAGAGCTTTATTGGCTGCTGCAGTACAAGTAGATTTATAACCAAAAGGGCAAAGGCCAAGTGAAACATCAGAGGGTTGCCTATCTGTCCCACCTGTTAGACATCAAAGAAAAACCAGCACACTGCTCACAGCAACTGGCATTTAAAACAATTAAGTTCCCTGTCAAATCCCTGTGATGAATTATCCGGAAGCTTTACCCGCTGTAATTCTAAATCTTCCCAACAAGTGCCTTTGTTGTAGAGAAATTAATGAAAACAAGATTGTCTTTCATAGAGCTGATCTAACAGCGCGACAGCCAGCTGCTCCTCTTTGGGAATAAAACAGTCAGCATTAAACACAGCTCAGACAAAATACTTTTTTCCCTTGCACTCGTGTGGAAAACAAATCAGGCGGCGAGCGCACTGGCCATCTGTTTTGTTATTTGATATGTGTGAATACATGTTGTAATGACTTTGTTTGTGAATCACTCTGCACGGCAGAACACACGAGAGCTCTCGAAGAGCTGGAGTGTTCAAAGCTAATCATATAATTGGACACAATAGTCGATGACAAATGGAGACGCTCGGAGCCAGCCAGCTGGGAAGTGAATATGTAATCATTGTAAAATCATATCATTTTTGCATATTTGAAGACAGCTTAATAGAGTTTGCGTGTCAGCACACTCTAAAGTGATGATCAGGAGGAGTATTGCTGGATTTGTTTTCTAAATTGTGCTGTGCTGAAATCTTTATCATGATTAAAACCGCTTCTCAAGAGCTAAATGTTTATTTTTCACTGGCTTACTGATGAATGCTCAAGTACAACAGGACGTGGTGGCTCTCGGTCCAATAAAGCTCTCCAGAAAATGGTTGAGAGCAGACATTTATTCCAAAATAGCAAAATCAAGCAGCTTTTAGCACTTAAGCGTGAACCAACAGATGAGTGTTGCAGGTTGGTCTGAAGCCCTGTTCTGTCCTTTTTCACGTTGTCATTAGTCTTCATATTGTTCCCATTAGAGCGCATGCAGACATGAAAGAGCACCTATAATGTTATATAGATACTGTACACTGTATCCAGCCTGGGCCCCTGCTCCACTGTACGGCATTAGCTCCACGCAGCTGCCTGCGTTTACATCATTTAGCGTTTCTCTCAGGGCACTTTAATGCACTGAACCTCTCCCCTGGTAAACTTTACAATAGGATGTTGAGGGATACTTCTGGACTGCCATAGGAAATGAAAGGCACATGTGCGCGGATCTACCGGCACAACACTGGGTCCCCCCTGTGATGCCAAGCTTAAGGGCTGCACAATGAGACTAATGGATTCCTTTTGTGGGACAGAAATAGGTTAAGCACACACGCTATTGTTCTTATCTGGTCTGTGTGCAACAATAAGTCCAGTAAAGAAGGCACGAGCTATGCAAATCTTCACAGCTTCATAGAGGTAATCTTTTCCTTGGGCAATTGCAATCTAGCCCCACATTGTCTTCTGTCTCCATTAAAAGCAGATAATCTAGCGCAAGTGTTTCGAATGGTACTACAGTGGCTCCAATTGACCCAGCAGTTAGCACTGAGCACACGGAACTCTGGGAAATGTATGGCCTTGATTACAGCTGTGTGTCTATTTTAGCAGATTGTTTGGTTTCCGATTCGCACACAGACACAGCCAGCCGCCATTAGCACATATAAATAATGTAGGACCCATCTACTCCCTCCTCCCCTTTTCCCTTGCTCAGCTCAGATAAAGTGCCATCATCTGAAACCTTGGACTGCTTTCGATCTCCACAGATTTGGATAAGATTTATTTTGGTTGGGTTTTTTGACAGCGTTCCACAACATGCATCTGGGGTTGTGTTTAATTGTACTACTTAGAGGACAAGAGTAGTGCCTCTTTTCAGGAATAGTGCCAAAGACATTCTATCACATCCAGAAAATGAATTAAGAGTAGACCTTGAATCAGCCTGGTCCTAAAAACATTTAAAAATGTTCACATGCCGAAATAACCGATTTAAGTTGTATTTGTTATGACCAATTTAGATAGAAGACAAAGCTTGTTGGTGGAATTATGGGTTTTTTGGGGGGGTTTTTGAGGGAATTACAGGGGATTTCTACGGAATTACACAGTGTTTTAAAACATGAAGTAGCAACTCAAACAGGAACAAAAAAGTGATCTGTAGATGAGGTCACGGAGAATGGTTACAGAATCCGGTCGGAAATAAGTACATCTTACATTTTAGACATTATCAATTTGATCATGTTGGAGTCCAATACAGAAAGTTATTCATTTCGTAAAAAAAACATAGAATTGACAAAACTATGCATTGATAAAGTCTCTATCTATCAGCGTCTCTTCTTTCTGCAAAAACATTGAGAATTCAGCCCAAACTCTAATATTATGCTTACATTTTACATCACAACAGCCAAAGTAAGGAGAGCCCTAAAACAAGTTGCTCCGCTCTGCAAAGAGGGCTGTGAGCTGTGAGCTGTCTGTTCTGGAGGTTCTTTATAAATCCAGGCTCTTAAATCGAGCTCTTCAAATAATCAATGACTCTTCTGGCCACCCTGGAAAAGCCATGTTCCAGCTTCCTCCTTTTGGCAGAAGGTATCGTTCGCATGGCAAAGCACTGCCATGATTTTGTACATGTTTTTGAAATCGTTTTGGTTCTTTGGTTTTATTGTACTAAAAAGTACAATAAAAGTGTTTATTGTACTTTTTAGCTTGTTTTAGTTATGCAATTGTCTGGTGCACACTTGAGTACTTTTGCACATGTATTCCAATGTGGTTTTTACTGCCAATGGCAAATAAAATGAATTTAAATTCATTAAATTTTTTAGTTTTTTATTCAACATTCAACAATAAGACAAAAAGAACACAACATAAAACAAAGCCAAGACAATAAATAAAAAAATTAAAATACAAAAAAATATATTCACACGTAGACAAAAGTGAAAAGTACACTAACAAACGTATTTAAATGTTGACTCCATGGGTGTGGGTGCAAATAACAATAATAATAATGCATTGGTTTTATATGGCGCTTTTTTGGACACTCAAAGACGCTCACATGTCATTATTCATTCCCTCCATACACAGTGGTGATAAACTACTACTGTAGCCACAGCTGCCCTGGGGCACACTGACAGAAGCAAGGCAACCAGTATGTGCCATCGGCCCCTCCGACCACCACCAACCATTCCTACACACACATCAGACTCATTCCAGGCAATGGGGTTATCTATCTATCTATCTATCCATCCATCTATTTATCTTTTCTTCCAACTACCTATCTTTCTATCTATATCATATGTATAAAAACGCACATTTGTACGTGACAAGGGCAGATTTAAGAAAGCACTGCTTACAATGTAAAAAGACAGTCTTACACAATTTCACACCGAGTTCCTTTATCTGCGCCTAAACCTTTACACAACAGGGCTCTGAGCGGCGTGAGTGATATGATGGCAGCTAATGCTAATGCACTCATTTCAGCTGATGTGCATTAAAAGAGAGCTGACTGACAAATTGAATGTAAAAGCAGGTAGCGGGAGTGTGGAGAGAGAGAGAGAGAGGCCGATACATGACTGCCTCTGCGTGCACATCACGTCCCCTCTCCCTAAGCTCAATTACACGATTGATACTGAGAGAGGAAACTTCATCATGTCGTACAGATGTCTTCACTGGAGGAAGAGGGACACGCCGCATGTTGTCGTTTAACGTGACATGGGCGGCGTTGGCTCAAAACAAGCCAAATCAGGAACAGTTGGCCAATAGATTTCAGTCGAGTCTCGGTCATGGTCCAATCTGAGTCACGTGTGACGGTGTGAGAATGTGACATCAATGTAACCTGTAGCTCCTCTCGCACTCAGGGAGAAACAACAATGTGACATTTCTTTCTCCATGCACTGGTAATTGACTCGAGTTTTCCTTATGTGGTTTTTAAGCTAGGGTAAGTAACTAATCGTATTAATAATCGGTTTTATAAATTGCTTTGGGACACGCAATGATGCTTCACATGTCATGGTGGTAATACTGTGAACTACTACTGTAGCCACAGCTGCCCTGGGGCACACTGACACAAGCGAGGCAACTAGTATGTGCCATGGGCCCCTCCGACCACCACCAGCCATTCACACACTCACCAGACTCATTCTTTGCAATGTGAGGGAAGTGTCTTGCCTAAGGACACCACCACAGAAGGGAATGACAAATCTCCCCTTCGCCCCCTCGCCCCCCAAAGCCACGGAGAAAAACTGTAACACGAACAGAAAATACAAAAGGGCAGGGAGCGACGTGTGTGAAAATGCGCGTCACAACGGACCGACAGGAAGACGTAATGTGACGCACAATATCAAGTCCCCACCACACCTCTTCCCCCACTCCCCACCACCCGCCACAGTGACCCCCCTCATCTGGGCTTTAGAAGCGTGCTCTGGCCCACCTCTCTCAACCGTGCCCAAGCCCACTAGCCGCGGTCACATAGCACCTAAAGCCCGGATCTAATCGCAAAGTGGGCCCAAGGCCACTTTAACCGGGCTTTAGGCTGTGCATGTGACCGCAGCCGTAGTTCTGAGAGGACCTACTGCATCAAACAAAATGTAGTAAGAGTTTGTTCCTGCATGTTCAAATCTGATTCCATTTGGGAAGCAATTTAATTAAGAAGTTCTAAAAAAGTTTGATGGGGAAAGGCATAGGCTCAAAGAGTGAAATTGTGTACTGCTTTTGTATTGTTTTTTGTGTTTGTATTTAAATGGCCTATGCTCTCACATCTGGGTGAGTGGGGCAAACGTTTACAAGTTTTAGCTTCATCCAAACCACTTTAAAAATTCAGTTTTTTTGTTCTGTTAAATTATGTATTACAGGTCTTGACGGATTGACCTCTGCTATCTCATGGTCATTAACAGTACATACAATTTTTTTTAAAATTTGAACCAGAAGTCAATGAGGCGTTGGCATTATGAAGCCGTGTCATATCTGTATTGGAACATCCTATGAACAAAGTGTGAAATAATAATCCATTAACTTCAAATAAGCACAAGCAGTAAATCTCCTTTTATCAATTTACTCACAAAAACTAAGCCATTAAAAAGCTGGATATTCCATTATATGTTTAGATTTTTTCAGCCAATTAATAAAATATAACAACTATATGAAAAATAAAGCTTTTTGAATTCCAAACTCCCAAAATAACAAATATTCAACAACACTTTTGCAAATGAGACCAATGGACATGTATTACCCCTGGACTCTGAACATTGTGAAGCGCTTTGGGTGACCTTGGTCTGTAAAATGCGCTATATAAATAAATATTACTTACTTACTCACTTACTTTTATAGTTTACTATTTTACTTTATTCCCTAAATCTCATTATTAGTAAAAAAAAAAAAAAAGGCTAAGGTTTTGAACAGGAATTGTTGACACACTTGGCCATTCTTCTGCCTCTCCAGAGACCACTACCAAAGAATTTCTGGGCAGAATTTGTTCCCAGTTATAAATAGAGACACCAACGACCAACACTAAAGATCCACCGCTTCACAAAGAGTCCAGCTGATTGTGTCCAAACGGTCGTAACGCAACAGAATATTTACCAAGCAAGAAGGCATAAGGTCTGCAGGTCAGCCATAATGATCATTTTAACAGCGTTTTTAAGTCCGCCCATGAGTAAACCAAGGAGACAATAGCTTTGAATACAAATGTTTTGCGCAGAATAGGCTAAATCATTCTTATCTAGGAAAGGAAATTGTTATTCTTTTACAATATTGACCATATGAAATGCGATGTGCTTCTTCCTCAAACTAATAATTAACCTATATGGCCCTCCATCAAGAACAGCGGACCTCCATACTTAATGAATAGAGCAATTTAGATTCACCAGACTCTGGACAGTGAGAAAAAGCGATGAAGGAGTAAATGCAAAAAGAAAAATCTGTATAAAAGTCTAGTAAAGAAAGGGACTTGAACTTTTCATCTGAGTGAATTGATGTGAAACAATAACAAACAATAATAATCTGTGTGAGTGAGTTTTTCAGCCTCGTCGCAGTAAACATTTTTTACAACCCAGACAGCTCTATAAAGCGCTTTAGGCATCATTGGCCAGAGCCGTCATTAGTCAGAGCGCGTGTGTGACTCCAAATAAAACCAGCGTTAGCCCCTTATACTTCACACTCACAACAATGGCCACGCTCGCCTTTAATTTCATTAGGGTTTTTTTGTCTTTGCAAACGCCAAGTCCTGTTTTGCCTCAAGAACATATCTCTTAATCACGTTCCATCCAGGCTGTGTCTTTCATCTCAATCTCACAGTAGTGGCGCTCGCCCAACTTTATTTTGCTATAAGGTAAAAGAGACAGGGGGAAAAATAAAAGCCCGTTCGCACACGCTCCCAACAGGGGAAAAGCAGTGACAAAAGCCCGGCTCTCATCTCTGTCACATGAAATGATGTTTGGTGTTTAGCGGCGCACTACTATGTGTGCGCGTGCATGTGTGTGTATGTGTGTGTGCGTTTGTCTGCGGGGCTCAGATCCATGTTGTTTGGTTTGCTTCTTCCATTAAGAGAGCTGTAAAGCAGAGGGAACAGATGGCTGCTGGCCCGCTCTGTCCTGCATCCTCTCACAACTGCCACACTTCCTGTGCCGCCATTAATCTTCCCTCACTACTCCTGCAGCACAACTTTATTAAAACAACTCAAGAGAGAGCCAACAACAAGCACGCCGCAGCTGTCAGGAGCAAAAGACAGAACCATCCGTCCACACGAGAAGGGGCCCGCATTTTGAGACGCATCTGTAAAACAACTGGAGTAAGGATACAGTCGGGCTTTGAAGAGCTCGCCGCCGAAGTGGTGGAGGAGGCGCGGTAAATGCTCATTAGAACACAGCTGGAACTGCTGCTGGAGTTCCTTCTTGGGCGTACTTTGTCAAACTTAAATATGGGAACCACCAGCTCCGCCTGCAGCAGACTACTGTTTGGGTTCAACAGGAAGTGCTGTGTGACAAAAGTTTGGCTCAGAGATTTGAGAGGATCACTGCGGACTGTACAGCAGAATTAATTTTTGTGCGTTGTAGACATTGGCAAGGCAAGGCAAGTTTATCTGTACGGCACAATTAATACACAAGGCAAGTCAAAGTTCAAATCATAGATAATCACGGTACATTAAAAAGAAAAATGAAAATATAAAACTCCTCAGTGGTATGCACCGTTAAACACAACTGTTTTAACCTGGATTAGAGGAACCCGGTCTCACGTTTTCAGTAAAAATTGTTCCATTGGTCCAAGAGTTCAAAAGAAACTGTGTTTGACTTGGTATCACAGAATTCACTGCATTTTTTTTAAACTAGTTAACCACTCAACACTTAACCATGTCTGTTGAGTGGTGCAGACATGGTTAAGTGCAAATCCGGTCTTATATGACTCTCGTTCCCACAGTATGTTACTGACACGAACATGTATAAATGACATGAACACAGGGGTTCTCTTCAGGTGGGTGTTCTTTCCCCCCTGCTCTTCTTAATTCAAGACTCTGTAAAAGAAGGAAGACACCCCCTTACATTGAAAAATACAAATCTAATTTGCTGTAAAATGTTAATTATGTTGTATTTTGTACATTGTGACTGTAGATACTTTGGTAACTTGCACTTGTTTTGAACTGTATTTATGTTTAATGGTTGTATTGTAAGGACTATAGATGGAAAGTAGCATGGTGCTGAATCCGATGGTGCCATCTTTTTAATGTAACTGCATATTGTCCCTAAATGTACTAAGCTTAGACGATTTAAACATAAGCTTGCCAGAGACAATTTCCTTATATGAGGAATTGTTCCGACCGGGTTAGCTTCACGCCGTAACCAGTGGGGGCGGGTCCCGGCTCAAAAGTGGCCACCACCCCGGGCCGAAGGGGGTGGACCCGGAATAAGAATTAGCCAATGCTCACATGTAGCATTAGCTGACCTCTTGAAAACGTCTTTACAGGATGGTCCAAAAGTTGCCTCTTGGCCCAAAGCTCCGTTCCACATGTGTTTTTTTTTGGACCAGTCTAGTTTAGTCGCTGTGAATTTTTGAAGTCTCTCGTTTAAATGAATGGGGCTTGTGCCGGCTGACGCATGCGCAGATGCGTTTTTTCACATTTTCCAGCCCCCACGGCCATTTTGAATCACTCCATGAAAGCCCAATTTTTGGCCCATTAGTTAGAACGGCAGAGATAGGCGTGACTACATCCGTTTATATATACAGTCTATGGCCGTAACAGGAGGCAGACGCGACCATGACTGTCCAGAGCACCACACCACAGTCAGTAGAAACCAAAGCAAGTATGAGCAAAACTTTATGCACAATTTGTCTTCTCAAATCACTTTCACAGGAGGCGATTTATTACCATCAATCTGCACTGTCTGAATTTACATAAAAACTAACACAACAAATACTAATCTGACTATGGCTCAATTTGGCCTCGCGCTCCATGTCCGCAGCAGTCATTGGGAAAAAAATAATGAAAAATCAATTGCTATTTAAATGATTGAAATGAAGAACACCAGGAGCCAGTGATAAAAAGGAAAGAAAAACCAGGGTGTAGATCCGCTTTAATTGGAAAGTCATTTCTTGGGGGTATTCTAATGGTCGTGGGGAAGATTGCAAAGTGAAGTTGATGAGCTGGGAGGAGGTTAATAACTGTGCTGTTTGTGTGCGTCTGACCCGGCATGTTGTCTTGCCAAATGAAGAGTAATCCACCATCTCTCTCTGCCTCTCGCCCGTGGTCATCCATCTGCTATCGGGGGGAGAGTGTGGCTCAGCTCTGGGTCAAACTAAATTAACCAGCCCTCGCTCACAATTGTACAAATGTAATTGATTTAATAGAACTAACCCTGGTGATTTGGAAGTCTGCAGTCGCCAGTAATTGCGTCCCCGCTCAAAGACACACACTTCACATCTGAAGCATCTTCGCAAAAACGAATACGCCGCTGATGGATTGTGGGATCCGATGAAGACGGTGCAGAGGCTCGTCCGAAAAAATGAAAGAATGTGGTGTTGGTGTGATTTTGTAATGAATTCGCAGTTTACAGACAGAATGAAGGGCATAATATGGAGAACAAATCATGCTTTGTGTTGTCAGTGAAAGGTTTTTTGCTAAAAGGCTTTAAAAAATAATCAATAACATCAAGAAAAAGACATTATTTTTGTTCATTCATTCATGTATTGATAGATTGTAATGGGGAAAAAAATGGTCCATGTCTAATCTAAGAACAGCATAACTTGGATCAGATTGTGAGTGATTCTCGATTACAGGCGGCCTGTTGCAACTTGGTAAAGTTTGAAAGTCTTTCATGGTTTTTATCAACCATTTGGTGGATCACTTTTTGAATTTCCATTTGGTGGATTTAATTTTTTTTCTACCTCATTGTTGCAACTTTATTACTCGGTTTTAGACCCTTTACCATCAAACTGCTTCTCAACCATTTGGTAAAGGCCTATAATTCAAATGTGTGTGTTATTAGTGCCTCTACATCTTAGGAAACCAGCAGGGGTGAAGTGCTAATGTTATCCAACTGGACCTGCTCAAAAAAAAATTAATCTTAGGACAAATATGGTCGCACCATTGGTTTGAGCAGTTAAACAGCAATCGCAATAGCATTTTATTTCACAAATTATGTTATCACTGTCCTATACAGACAACAAAAAGCTGCTCTCCATAAGTCTGGTAGTCTCTCTATGACATTGCAACCTCGGTTCCTCCTTCATCAATCACATAACTATTTTAAGTTTCTCATGACACTTTAAAAGGCCACACTAGCTACAACTTTAAAAAGTCAAATTCCACAGAAAAGGTAGAACATACTTCAGACTACCCCACAACCTAAATAAGATTTTTTTTCGTCCTCCCTATTCTTCACAACTGTCCCAAAACCTTTCTCCAAAGCTTGTTGACATTAAAGCAACACTAAGTCTGAGGCATTTCCATTAAAGAACAAACTTGTTGACATAGTTATCAGGCCGCGGCGAGGCTTGCGTCACTCTGAATAGGGCCTTATGAGAGCTATCGAGATGTTATAGGTCATGTTGGCGCCAAATATCACAAAAGGATGAAGAGGATATGAACACACATTGACTGTAAAGACGGGGGGAAAAAAGCCTGCATCTCTTGAGAAAGGAAAAACGCTTGGATCCATTTCCGCCGTAGAAGCGCCGAGTTAAAAGGTGGCCCCTGAACAAATGAAACTCAATTTCACGCCACATTATCCCTCCCCTGTTCTCTTCCCTGGCTTTCATTTTCATTAAGACCAGAGACAATCATAAATTAATAATTACTGTCCAATGTCTAAGCGCAAAAAGCTAAGTCGTATAGCGCTTCTCTTTTTAGCCTTTGCACCGGCTCTTCATGTCCGCGCCTGCAAAATGTTAATCTAGGGAAGCGTGGCCCAGGCCCTTGTCAGATAAAAGTGTTTTGTAGTTTGGCTAATACATAATGGTGGGATCTGATTAGCTGTCGTATCTGAAAGACAATCAACCTGCTCCTCTCTAATGTCTCTCCAACATCTCGGGGCACTGCTGAGTAATCAGGACACGGACAACATTACGGCTCACACTAACTGGATATATGGTTGACTATGTCTGGTGATAAAACACACATTATGCACATTACCAGGGGTGAAAGGGAAAGTATGCCGTGTTATTCCATGCTTTGGTGTGTTTCTGAGCATATTGTAATGGAAGGGGCTGGAAGTCTGGCATTCTTTTCGTTTAAGCGGGTGTAAAATCGTAATTGAATAAATAGCCGGTGAAAAAAGCCCAAGTGAATAAAAGGTCTCAAGACAGGATCAGTTTACGGATTTAATATGGCATCAGACATGGTTTTTATACACTGCAACAAAGCAGAAACAAAATGCATATTAACAAAAATGAATGAAACTAAAATGGGAATCAACTGAAACTCACATGACGCATGCTGATCCATAGCCTGGATTGAAATGAAAGGGGAAACAGTGGGCTTCCAGGACTTAAAATGGCTGCCTAATTGCACCCAGGTGTGTAGGTGTGGGGGGGCGGAGCCAGCAGAGGGGTGTGGTTGAGGGATTTCTCACAGCGGGCAAAATACGGATGTACGGATTGTTATTGAGTTGTTAATATGGATTATTCAGGTCACAATGTCACTGAATAATAGTGATTTGTCATTTTAGAGGAAAAAAACCCCCAACATATTTTCTCAAAGTTCTTTTTTTAAATCCCATTTGGTACCTTTAGTCTTACCAAGTAGTTTTTTGATCTATGTTAGTGACAAATAAGGTTTTTCCTGTTCTTTTGGGTGTTCATTGTGAATACATGTTTTTTTTCTCACATTTATTGTGGCTTTAAAATGTGAAATTATGACATCCTTAGTGGTCAACTCAATGTACGGTATTACGGTACGGAGATAGAAGGTGTTTAAGTATTGATGGATTTGTCTGGATCTCTAATAATGTTTTTATTTATTATACGTGTGAATGAAATATGACATTGCTCTGATAATTAATGAAACTGACAATGCCTTGGATCATGTGCAAATTAATAAAAGTGCCTTCATTAATTTTCTCCATAGTGAAATATATACTCTCACAGCACTGGAGAAGAAAAATATACCATTATTCTTGTTCTATTAATTTATTTTATTCTGATGATTCTTTTCCAGTGGGCGACAGTGGCTCAGTTGGAAGAGCATTGGCCTTTGAGCCTGAAGGTCGTGGGTTTGAGCCCACCATTAGAACTACTTCACGACTCCCACTGATGTCTGCTGTCGTTGTGTCCTTGGGCAAGACACTTAACCCCACTTTGCCTGAAGCCCCCACTGAAAGATCACAGCTCCTGTGGACTCACCACCTGCAGGAGGATCAG